TGTGGGATGGCGTCCACCAACATCTGTGCCAAGTATGGACGAAAAGACACCAGGTTCTGGAATACACCAACAAAAGTAGCTGCGAATAAGAGAGCTAAGATCCTTTTTGGACTTTGAGTTCCATACAGGCAGCTGCTGGCTAACCAAACGGACATAGCAATGGCTGACAAGTAGCAGAAGAAGGCAGTTCTGGTTGATGTGGCAATCCTAGCTGACAGTAACATCAGGAGGGATCAATTTTAGAAAAAGACTGACAAGTGCCGGGGACTTAAGGAACAATTGGATCAGATGTGGAAAGTGAAGGACAAGGTGGTCCCAGTGATAGTAGCATCATTAGGGGCTATGAACCCCAAACTGGAGAACTGCTCCAGCAGATTCCAGGTATAACATCTGAGATCTCTCACCAGAAAAGTGCAGTCCTGGGAATAGCTTAGATACTGTGCAGAACCCCCAAGCTCCTAGCCCTCTGGTTGTGACTTGAGCTTTAAGAAGTCACAAACCACCCCCACTAAGTGGAGGTGAGAAAAGATTATATGGGGTTCTCAGCTGGTCTCACCCTGGGACCCACATTTTCCCATGGTCATTAAGTCACGACCCAATTTTTTTAAAAATTCAATATATTTTCCTGTGCAACATGTATTTCAGAGCATATAACCATGCACAGTAAATGGACCATGACAACTGCATGTACAAAACTGCACAAACATTTTTTAAAAAGGCCACAAAACAACATATTTTCACTTCATTTTGAGCAAATTAATGATAAACTAAGGAGGACCATGACAACTGCATGTACAAAAGTGAATAAAATAAATATCAAAACTACTCAAAAATAAAGTTTTGGACTATTCAGGTCATTTGTTGAAGTTAATGAGACAGTTGGGCACGTGCTCTACTCTTGATTAGAGTTTCAGAGTCTGGGGTGACAGTAGACAGAGCTGCTCTCAGATCATGCTCAGTGTCCAACCTGTTTCTCTGCTGTGACTTGAGCTCGACCAAGGTAGAGAAGCCACTGTCACACCAACAGGTTGAGCTGAATGGTAAGATTGTTTTAACTGCAAGAGTGGTGAGGGATGGATACTCAGCCATCGCATCACTACACCAGAAGTGGGAAAGGCTGACCTCCCCACATCTCTTTTCCAGCGTCTGATCACATGACAGCTGCACCAGCTGATGCTCTCATGCAACCACATTTCGTTGTCAAACAGTTCTGCATACAGGGAGTTAGTCTCAGAGAGGAATGTGGTGATTTCTGATTTAAGTTCGTAAAAGCGTGACAACACCTTGCCCCTCGACAGCCAGCGGACTTCTGGGTGCGTGCAGGCTCCGACGGGCTGGAAGTGGCGGGACGCAAAGGCAGCTTTTGGCTACTAAGACCAGTTTAGGTGTTTACGGTAGCGTTGACAGCACCGTTTCCGCAGCGGCGGCAACGGCCGGCAGACGGGGGGTGCGGGCGCTGAGCTTTCGGTCCGACCAACGTTCACAATGCTGTGTCGGTGGTAGCAGCGGTGGGAGAAATATTCTGAGATCAAAATTGATATCCCGATTCCAGCACAGCGAACGAGTAGTTGGCTATTCGGGTCCAGTCCTAGTATGAAAATCCACCTTTTCAGTACTCCGGGTCGTATTTGCGCGTTGCCATCTTGCATCCCAACATCAACACAAACTTCAAATGAACGTCAAACTGTGGTTACTGTGCCTGTCAAAATAGAAGTTTTTTCAAAATAAAAAATGAATCCAACCTGAGACACACACATTATATATTATTTATTTTTGACCAGCTGTCCGCGACCGACCCAGAACAGACCCACTTTTGGGTCGCGACCCACCAGTTGAGAACCACTGTACTAGTGCGTCCCAACAAATAAGAATAGTGTGAGAAAGTTTCATGTTTTCCATCAGATTTTTAAGAAAGTGAAAATGTAGTCTTTTCTAGACTCATTACATGTAAAGGAAATAAAGGAAATGTTTCAAGTATTTTTTTTATTATTTTAATTTAGCTAATTATGGTCCATAGCTTAGTTCTTTTTTTTTTTTGTTAATCTCAAAATATTAAAATATTGCATTTCGAGTTTGAGTAAATAACTATTCAAACAGCATAAATACCGTCTGTCTCTTGACTTGCCTCAGTGCACGCAGCCACAATCATGGGGAAGTATGTTGACTTTAAAATTGTTCAGAAATTGATTATCAGCGTCTTCCACAAGGATGGGAGGGAGGAAAGGTCATTGCTGGAAAGGCTGGCTGTTGGCGAAGTGCTGTATCAAAGCATATTAATGGAAAGTTGACTGTCGGTGAAGAGTGTGGTAGGAAAAGGTGCCCAAGCATCAGGGAGGATTTTTGCTTTTGAAAGGATTATCAAGACAAGTCATGGTGTGGAAGAGGCTTGTGTCAGTGCATCAAGACCCACCAGACACAGACGTCTTCAGGAAAGAGCCTACAACTGTCACATTCCTAATATCAAGACACTCTTAAACCAGAGAAAAAGAACTGGACTGTTGCTCAGTGGGTCGAAGTCCTCTTTTCAGATTAAAGTACATTTTGCACTTCATTGGAAATGAAAGCGCTGAGCATTACTAGTCCAGGTTGCAAATAGACTTTCTATGTGAAAAGTAGAACAGGATGAAAAAGAGGCAACTTGTATCAAAATGTAGTTACTATGTGGTTGCTATGGTCAACTCACTTATAAAATAGAAACTAATAAAATATACAGCATGCCTTTTACTTTCTCTTGTATCAGGGATACTCAGGGATGCACTCACTGACACAATTTTGTGGTTACCATGTGATTTACCATCACTTTCCCAGATTCTTCCCTTGTAAGCTTAGAGTTTCAAATACATGTCAGAAGTTGTCAAGTTTTGACTTCATGCTGATGCCATGTATCTTGGATTGTAGTTGTACTGTAATTCATTTGAACTGAACCAAAGAGGATAAATGTGAAAGTGCCCCATGGTCATTTTCCTACCTTTTTATTTGGTTTGAACTAAAGAAAAACAAAATAGTGTTTGTCTTTTTGTTCTGGTCAAGTTTGTTTGCCTAGACTTTTACAGAACCACCAAGGGTGTGCATGAGGTCATATAGCCTGAGAAATGACGCTGTTGTTGGATAGTTTTGATGAATATCTGAAGTGAAAATCACTGCACCCAATGCGGTGTTCACTAGATGATCCTGAAGGAGAAAAAAAATTAACTGAATCAAACCAAACTAATTTTATTTGGGTTTTTGTAAAATTATTAATATGCATTGACATGAAAACTCAGGGGGATTTCTATGTATTTACATTTCTAGCTACATTTGCTGATGTTCAATCTGTTTGTTACAGACACAACATTCATTAGTGGATGTGTTGTGCTTAATGCACTATTTAAAATTTAAATAGTATTAATATTTAATAATATGTAATTTATGGCTGTATACTAAATATATTATTTAAATTTTAAGTAATATATTTAGTATACAGCCATAAATTACATCAATGTGAACAGTTGAGATATACAGTTGAACAGTTCTCAAACAGCCATCTATTCCCTCTGCTTTGATAGCAGTGTGCTCTGCAGTGAAAGTATGAATTTTGAAATGTAATCACATTATATATTGCTTTCATTTCAGCAAGGGAAAAGTCTGCACTTTATTTATTTATTATTTTCAGAGTCTGCCTGGAGTTCAGACTAGTTTGTTGTTTTTAATTTGCAAATGTGGGTCATGTCTTTGGGTGGAAACTCACACATAGTAACTGTGCCCATGTAAAGTCCTCCCTGTTTCAGCACATATACCTCTTTCTGAGGCTCTCTATTTGTGTCTCTTTCACAGACATGAATTGGTCATGCACAGATGAACTGTGAGTAAGAGTTCCTTCCTGTTGGAGCTTCTCTCAGGCTCTGATTCTTCTCCAACAATATGTTGCAGGTGTGTTCCTGTAGGATATGCTGCTGGTTGATGAAGGGGATTTGCTGCACGACACTGGTTTTTCATTGTGTTGTGTGTGTCCTGTAGCTATGTGCTTATATTGTGTTTCAATTGTTTTGGCACAATTCTTAAATGAAGATTCTGATTTAAAAATACTGTTTACAATTCTCTTACTTTTTCACTCTATTCTCTCCATACAGAACACTAGATGTATTTCTTTTCACTTTCACATGGTGTTCAAGTGTACAGTATATACACAGTCCATTATGCAAAAATATTGCTGATGAGTGAAGGTTGCATACTCAAATGGCACCATTTGACAATTTGCAATTTTTAGAATTTAAGAAATAAATTAGAACGGATTAGTCACATTTATTACACCTTGAAATTCACCATTCAGATCTGGGGTTCTAGATAAGGTGCAACTAATTAGAAGCTTCTTCGGGAGCGTCAGGTAGAATCTGTCTTATTTTAATCGCTAACATCTAGGATCTGTTGTTCTCTTTGCAACTGAAATGTGTGTTGTCATCATGCCAAGAGTAGGCCCGATAATGTGTTCATTCTAGAACAACAATCACAAGAGGACATGGAGAATCAGAAAAAATCTACATCACACATTTATTATACATAAGACAAAGTGGATAAAAATAATAATTAAAAAAAACATTATTTAAATACACTGCATAGATACATTAATGTGTCTACATACAAACAGATGACACACTGACGCTGCCTAAGCAGAGTAACTGTGTAGAAGAAACTGGTGCCAAAAGAAAAGACGGACTGATGAAGAATTGCAAAAGAAAATGTCAGTCAAAATATGCATATTGTAGTCTGATCTGACAGTCAATTTAGCCCTATGACTATGGAGAGGACTTTATTTTAGCTCCTATTGTAATGATGAAACTGGGAACAGAGCACTCGATGCATCTGTGTCTCATACTGAAAATATCACTCACTGAAAAAATGTTTCTGAATGTGTCTAATCTACAAAGCATGGCGACTTGGAAGATGGGTGGTGGAGTCCCTTTTTTGACTCTGCTACTGCTGTTATTTGACACAATGTCTATGTATCCATGTCTTTTCCTCAGCATGGGAATGAGCCATGATGATGACCATGACACCTGCACTGGCCACTCTCATATTATGTCTGGTGAATGGGTGAAAGGAAGAAACCCCAGTGACCTGTCCTGGTCCTCCTGCAGTCGCGACGACCTGGAAAACTTCCTCAGGTAAGAAGCAGCTGGGTGCAAATGAGGTTGATCTAGATGATGTTTATTTACTCCTCACTATGGTACTATCACTGTAAGATGAACAATGTACATATATATTTTTTATTAATCTTTGATTCCCCTCTCTGTTGTGGGCAGTGATGTGTGAAAATGCAATCAAAACTGTGTAAGCGGAAGTTTTAAAAATGTGTTCCGATATTTAAAATGTGTTGTGGTTATTTCTGTTGGAAGAAATTTGGTAGAGGTGTGGTTATTTTTAATACAGGTTCGGTAACAACTGTGTTTGCTGACTTATTGTTGTAAGGCTGTTCTTTACACTCTGATTTACTCTGAAGCAAAATGACAACTTTTTCTGGAGTTTTTCAAATCTTCTCTGGCACAATAGTTAGAATAAATATACTTACATCGTGGATGGTTTCGTGGATGTTCAGCACAAAGGTCAACCTAATCAAATGAAAAGTAAACAATTGGTGAGACTGCCTCACAAGGGCCTGGTGGTAGAGACGAAACCCCTCTAGTGGTCCAGCAGGAGGTCAGCAGCGAACACAGAATCCCACTGGAGGTTGGCCAGAAAGGCCAACTCTAGAACAGAGTTAGTCAACCCACGGCTTGTAAAGACATTGTCAGAATCAGGAACAGTGAAGACATCAGCCAACTTGGAGGAAGGACTTGCGTTTACTGACCCTGGCAAGGATCGGTGTCAGCTGCCCAGAGCAGAAAAGTCACTGGTCAATTTAGAAATGGATATCCAGTTCACCGATTCAAGAACTGGACTGACATTGAATGACATAGGAGTGGTCTTTGCAATTCCCAGCTCAGAAATGACACAGACAACATGCAACTCTGACACAGGAACAGGGGGAACATCAAGCCACTCTGAAACAGGGGAGACGTCGGGTGACTGAGACTCAGACTCAGGAACAGGAATAACATAAGTTGACTCTGGCTCTGAAACAGGGGAGGCTTCGACCAATTTAATGACAGTGTTTGTGTTGGCTGACTTGAATTCAGACTTTAGAGCAGAGAAAACATCTACTGACTCAGAAACAGTTTCAGGAATGGGAGGTATATCAGTCGACTCAGACTCAAGGATAGGGGAGATGTCAGGTGACTCAGGAGTGGAAGAGGCATGTTTGTCAAATGACCGTGGAATGTGCTTGGGCTATGTGTCGATCAACTGTGGAAGTGATCTGGACTTGACGTTGGCAAACCCATGTGCAGTCTAACGAACAGAAAAACAATCGACTCAGGATAAGTCACTGGTGAAGTGTTGTAATTACAGAGACATTGGTTTTTTATGCCGCACTTCTTAAGGAAACGTAATATTGAGATAGTTTACTATTAATGGTAAATGTTTATTTTTTATAGGGATAACCAATGACTTTAATTAGAGTTCTGTACACTTTGGCCATTGGCTGTCAAAGCTTTTTTAATGTGGAAGAAATGGCCAAAAAAAAACAGCTGGGAAGGCCTGGACAATATAAAGTCTGAGGTGCAATAGGAACAGGAATCCAGTGACAACTTGACCAGACTCTGTGATGAACAGAGGGTATGAGGGGGATTTAATTTAGCAGATGCTATAGCTGATTCTGAACAATGAGGAAATTGATGAAGCTGGCAAAGTATTTGATCCAGTGTTTAATGTGTATTTTGAAGTAACAATGATGCAGCAGGAGAGGAGACCTGTGAATAATTCTACAGTGAAACTGATGCCACTTGGGTAAACCTTTAAAGAAGGTATGTGTAAGACAGATGGGCACGGGAGACAAAGCTGGATAATGAGGTGACAAGAAAGACTACAGAAGTACATTTGGACCTGGAATGTATGAGAATGGATATGTTGACCATTCGATCCCCTACTTAAGGAATGTTTAATGGGTAAACTTCATAAACAGCTAATGATGGTTCGAAGGTTTGAATGACCTATGTGAATGCCTTGGACCATTTAGCTAAGAACCACCCTTCATTGTAGAAACCCCAAAAAAACTTGTAGAAAGAGCAGCTATCTCTGTACAAGTCAAAGTTTTATTTGCAGGACAGTTGATCATGGTAGGAGAAGGTGACACTATTCCTTTTAGCAAAGAGGTGTTGCCAGAGCAGCATCTGCTCTAAATACGCTCTGAGGACAATTCTGTCCGTAAGTGAGGGCAGTAGATGATGCAAGTGAGAGCAAGTGAGCAGTAGAACAGTGAGTTTGTGGAATGATTCATAAGGCAAATTTTGAAAAGGTTGCTTAACGGGCTGTGAAACTGATAACCCAGCACCAACTGCAGGATGCTGAAGTGGACTCATGGGATAGAAAGAGACTGCATCCCATTGTCTGTCATTGAAGTGTACAGTTGCTGAAACAAGGCAATAGAAGAAAAGGGAACTGACATCCTGCTGCCAGAGAAAACAGCAGAAGATTAGTGAAGTTTTGGGAATAGACGTTAGTGAAACTGACATTATTCTGGGCAGAGCTACAGAGATTGTAGTGAAACGGGACATTAGTTGCTGATCACACAATTCAGCAGCCACATAGTAATGAATTGCATCAAAGTGTTGCCCAGCATCAACATTGAATGAGAAAGCAACACTTCAATTGATCTGTTGTCTTTCTTTTCACAGGTGGGTTTGTAGCTCAAGGGAAGTGTCTTCTGTCACAAAATTAACCTTGAGCAAAGGACTAACATCAAGTTGTTGGCTAACTTGGGAAAAACTCCAGCAGAACCTTTGCCATGCTGAAGGATGTGTACAGGACCTCTTATGCCACAGTGAATGGCATAGGAGGTTCAGAATGGGGTGGGGTGATGTGAAGGAAGACTTAAAACCAGGACATGTTTTAACAACAAGAACTGATGCCAGCATCCAGAAGGTCAAGGAGCTGGTGTGGAGTGATCACAGTCTGACAATCAAAATGATGGCTGAGCAACTTTGATTTAACAGGGAGTCAGTCTGGACCATGCTTTCGGACAATTTGGGCTTGCAGGCTTTCTTTGGTCTGGGCGACGCCGGCATCTTCCACTGTGGCTTGGTCTCTGGGTTGTACTTGAAGACCCAGTTCTGAACCCCAGTGATGATGTTGACCAGAATCTCTCGGTTGCCCTGTAACTATTTCAAAACATTACGAGACACATCCACACTGCGGGTCTTTTGGTGCTTGGAGAGCAGTTTGGGCACCAAGTTCGCTGAAATGTTCCACATGAATTGAAGCTAACATACAGTGGTCCACAGATTGCATTAATTCCTTTTGTCATTTATAAAAGGAGGGGGATCGACTGGACTGTAGCTTGGTAGTGGTAATAAGTCCTATGACCTGGAGGTAGAAACTATACTTGAATCTTAAGGTTTTGCATTTCAAAATTCCTGTAGTGCTGCTGTGTAGTTCTGCTAGAATGTAGGAGTGTGAAGAGGTGGTGCTATGGGTCTTTGATCATGTTATTGGCCCTTTGGAGCACTCTATGCTTATAGATATCCTGTAGAGATGGGAGGGCCATACCTATGATGTGCTGGTGTGATTTGTTCACTCTATGGGAGCTTATGATCCATTTAAGTGCAGATGCTGTACCATACTGTCACACTACCGGTGAGACTGATCTCAACAGTGCATTGGTAAAAGCTGCAGAGGAGTGATGGTGGTAATTTGAATTTCAATGGTCTTCTCAGAAAGTATATCCTCTGCAGTGACTTTCCTGATTAGGTCAGTGGTGTGGTGGGTCCAGGTGAAAGCCCACATGAAGCCAGAAAGCACATCTGCAAAACATATTTTAAAATTGTGGGGGTTTTTTGTTTTTGTTTTTGTTTTATTTTACCATCGACTGTGATGAGGTATTCAGCTACGAGTAATGCTGACTGTTAAATTGGGCATTATCTGTATAACCGAATGACCAATGTGGAAGACTTCTACATATGCACACGCAGCCTTCACACTGATACATTAACTTTATCATAACTCATAAGCTGCTAAAAGTCTGGCGTTCAGAATGTGCAGCCAATCAACACCACTAACTACAATGATCAATTTGTACTCCATCAGTACTTGTAATGGTTAATATGGATATAACATAAACATTTTTGTCAATAATTATTTCAGTTACTACACAATGGCCTCAGCAGAGTGCAGACCTGCTGAGAAGGTGTGTTCAGTCTATTAAACACTGTTATAAAGTGATGTCTGGTTGGAAACACAACATTAACTATATAAAAAAAAGTGTATTTGCATACTATATAAAAGCTTGAAAACAACACTATGATGTTGATGTCATTATTTACAATGATCCAATATCAGTGTTCTAAATGTAGTAATTCATTATTAAAAACAGCTACCTATGTGAGAATGTAATCAAGAAAACATTTAAAAGCACAAAAATTACTGTTTTATTGAGCATGGAAATCATAAACATAAATGACTGACTGCAAGTCTGGCACTTCATGTGATGAAGCTCAAATCAGGATTATGAGCCTGCACACTACAGTGGTGCACTAAAGTAGACTGAACACAGAAGTCTCGACATAGGTCTGCGCTCTGACAGTATAGTCTAGTTTTCTATTTTGTCAAATTACATTAAAATAAATGTTTTTATTTTAATGTTTAATTACTGTAATAGTGTTAATAATGTGATTTGATTGAAGCTCAAAAAGAAGAGTGATCACGTGAAAGAGGCTCCTCTTTGTGTGTGATTAAAATGTGCACAGGGAATTTTAAGGTTTATGTTCTTTCATGTAACATTATATTACTTTCCCTGATGTTTTAGGTTTTTGCTGTGGTATTGTTTCATCAAGTCAAAATTTTGGTATCGTGACAACACTGCATAAGAGCAGAATTTACTAAAATATTTTTTGCTGTTTCCACTTTATCCTGTACTCTGACTGTTGTCGGTTAAATAAATGTTGACCCTTTTTGGCACTCGACTTAGGCCTAGTTTTTAATTTTGGCCTCCTCTGTGATTAAGTTTGACACTTCTGGTGTAGTGTGTACACAGCATGGGACTAAGTACACAGCCTTGAGGGTACATAGCGTTCAGTACAAGTTTTCTGGAAGCAATAATTTCAATATTATTGCACTGTGGTCCAAAGATGAGGAAATCTGTGATCTAGTTGGGGTTCAGTCCGAGGTTGAACTGATTATCTCCTCATATAGTGGGGATGACTTTGCTGAATGCTGAGCTATGGTCCACGGACAGCATTCTGATATAGATGTCCTTATTTTCCAGATGGGAGAGGGCAGTGTGTAGAGCAGTATAGACAGCGTCTGCTGTAGATCTGTTAGGCCTGTAAGCAAACGGAAGGGGGTCCAGTGGGGAGGGAATTCTTAATTTTAGTCACGACCTGCATTGTAAATTAGGGTCATTGTTTTTTTTGTCCCCCTTTAAAGGCTCCTTAAGTGTGCTCAACCTAATTTCCTCATCAAAGATACGATATATTCATACTGCTATAGCTTGCGTATATCTGTGTTTGTAGTTTGTCTAATTGACTGTTTATCTAAATGATTGTTTCCTGTGGTGGATACTATCCTTGTTTCTCAACATCATCCTTACCAAGAAAAGTGTGTTTTGACAGCTTGTGAGAGGGCCTGTGTACTCACTGTTGCACACCTGTGACATTTGCAACTATAATTACTTGTCTGTTTCTAACTTCCACGCCCTGAAGATGACAGAAGCTGACAGGCATTGCGTGTCTTTTTCTAGCCTAATAAAGGCCTTTTACTTTACAAATCCCCAGAGTGCATTGGTTTGGATTTTGAATGCCAGCTGTAATTGTTCTGCCCTCACTAGTGCATTATTTGTAAGTTGACAAGTAGAGTATTTCCGTTTGATAAACATTCCAAAACAAATACTATATTAAAAATACAGGCCCCAAAGATGAAACCTAATGCCAAAAAAATGTGAATACACTTGTGATAACTGACACACAAGTTAGAAAACCTGTGATCACTGAGAAAACCTGTGACTTTTAATTTGTGTGATTGCATTAATGTTGTCATAAAATAGCCTTTAAATTGCGGAACTTAATTTTGACTGTGTCTATCTGCATATCTGCATCATGGCTCCACATAGAAAAGAATTGCCAGAGGATTTAAAAACTCTGATTGTGAGGCCCCATGAAGATGGAAGAGAATACCAAAAGATTGGTGACCGACTTATAATCCATGGAAACGTAAGCATTGTGCTACTAATCAGAGCTGCAGTGACCATTCTCCAAAAATTACATAGTACAAGTGATAGAGTGGGTTGTCCATTAATTATATGGTTGGTGGTTCATGTCCTGAAGTGTCCGTGGGCAAGACAAACAAACAGATTGGAGCAGCATCAGCAGTAATGTGGGTTGGCTGGCCGTCACAGTGAAGAGGATTCTGATGGGTCAAAACTTTCATTTTACTAGCTGATATACAGGCGTGCAACTCGGTAAAGTCACTTGGTGCCATTTCAAAGCAGCTATAGATCCCAAAATAATAATCATGTGCAAACAATTGTTTGTGGATATAAAGTGCATTGTACAGTTGTCACTGCCACAATCAGGAAGAAAACACAAACTTCCCTCTGCTGCTGAGAGACAGTAGGTCTGTATGTTCAAGAGTCAACCAAGGTCTGTGGTCGATGAAACAAAAATTGAGCTATTTGGCGAGCTGCTTCGTGGTTGGTATGGAGGTGGGTCTTCTACCCATTCATAGATCCCACATGTGTTTCATGTCGCCTTTGTTATTGGGCATCCATCCAAGGACTTTGGCTCATACTGTATATTGTTTGATGTTTTGATATTACTTCCAATGGCTAGTGCATGTTCATGTCCTGCTGTAAATGACGAGTTGTTTTTTTTTTCAGATTTGATTCATATTTAACAATCAAAAGACTCCTCATCATGAAACATTTCACCAATAAGGACACACTATAAATCCTTATCTTTTTTTCTATTTCAAACAGATCCAAAGCTAGTTCCTGTCTACTGCATACAGACCCCAGAAGCCGTTACCAGGTCAGGCTGCCTCCAAAACTGCCAGGCATGCACTACAGTGTGGACGAACAGTGCCAGATCCTTTTTGGGGCCAATGCTACTTTCTGCAATGACATGGAGGTACAACACAATCCATTGTTCTACCAACGAAGGATAGAGGCACAGAAACAGTTTATAACACATTTACATTTCGTAAAAGAAGAACTTTTCCAAAAAAAAAAACATATAAATATTTTATCAAAGTTGGACTCTAATGTATTTTATGTTAAGTATAATTAAAATAGACAGATTAAAGAGACTACATTGAAAACATATTCCGCAAAGTACAACTTCAGTACAAGACGTTTTTTGTCTGCCTTTATTTCTGGTGACAGATTTGATGGTCTTGGTCATGAACACCTTTGATTATCTAACTCAGTGAAAAGACTTTTACTTGGTTGGATGGATCAATCTAAGCCCCTTTGTTTGTTTTTTATGGACACCGGGCTGTGTAGCAACACCAGATCCTCATTTGTTTTCAGTGCACACACACAACAGACAGTTGGCTGACTGAGGAGTTGTTCACAGAACATGACAGCGTGTATATGATTGAAATTACTGAGTCTACCTTTAACACAATGTCCTTTGCACTGTCTGAGCAATGCTGGAAGATCAATTCCACGTGTAATCCTTTTGAAAAAATATAAGCACTTACTCAATCTCCCTTATACCTACTTACTAGTTTCAAATTGTGATTGTATGTATACATAATGTAGTCGAAGCCGAAAGGTTCAAAGTGATGTGTTCACCTTTACATTTTGTGCCTTTGTTATCTTTTAGTTGTATAAAATAAATGCCTGAGATTCCTGCAGTAGGACATTTATAGTTAGAACATTAATTAAGTTGTTGCTGTATGAATCCACCTAGTAGTCACAAAACACATAACACACTCCTCAGCAAAGAAAACAAACATCTTGAGCTTCAAGCCTGTCATTTCATGGGGAAAGTTAGAAGTGATATTTAGAATTTAAAAAAACTTTTCTTACCATTGCAGTTGCCACGTCACAGTCTAGTCTGACTTACAAAAAGAGATTTCTTCAAAGTAATGTCAATTCATTAAAAATGTAAAATGTTAAAAAAAAAAAAAAAAAAAAAAAGTGATTGCGTAAGTACTTGCCTCCTTCAAGCCACTATTTAGTAGATACACCTTTGGTTTCAATTACACCTTTGAGCCTGGGTGGATAGGTGTCAATCAGCCTTGCACATCTGGACATTGCAATTTTACAGCATGCTTCCTTGCATACCTGCTCAAGCTCTGTCATGTTGGACCTGCGTCCATGAGTAAAAAGTAAAAAACTCTCAATTGGATTGAGGTCTGGGCCACTCCAGAACGTTCACCTTGTTGACTTTAAACCATTTCTGTGTAGCTTTGGCTAAATGCCTCATTTTATTGTCTTGCTGGGAAACAAATCTTCTTCCAAGTTGCAGGTCTCTTGGAGGCTGCATCAAGTTGTTCCCATGATTTCTACTTGGCTGCATTTATGATACCCGCTACCTTTACAAGCCCCTAGAGCCTGCTGCCAAGAAGCACCCCCACATCATGATGTTAACACCACCATGCTTCACAGTGGGAATGGTGTGTTTGCAATGTTGTGCTGTATTTGGGGTCCACTAAGCACAGCATCTTGACTGATGGCCAAAAAGCTCAATATGCCTCCCTAATTTGATTTTCTTTCTCTTTCTTTTTTTACGTGTATTTATTTTTAACAGTGGCTCTCTCTTTGCCATACTCCAATAAACCCTGGACTGATAGAGAACCATGGAAACAGCTGTTGTATGCAGTTTCACCCATTACAGCCCCTGAAGCTTGTAACGTCTTTAGAAGACTCAGGTGTCTCATACTACTTTTCCACCAAGATGAACCAGGTGCTAGTTCTGTACTGGTGCTAGTTCTGGTGCTTAGTTGGTTCCAATCTAAGAAATGGTTGCTTTTCCATCGGCAAGGAGCCAAGTTAGAGCCACGCAATACGTAGCCGTTTACCGAACAATGCTCGTGCCACATGGAAGTCCACACAGGAATCCAGAATAACTTTTTTACCGGTGTGACCAACTTTCTCATTTGTTTGCACTTCTCACCTTGTCACAGGCAAAACATATGACTTGCTGAACATTTTCATATTGATAGATGCTACAATTCATGATGTTCCCCAAATGTGCCACATGGAAGGCTGTGGTAGCTGCTGTTGGTGGCTGCAGCGCAACCAAAACTGACTTTAAAAAGAGTGAACTAGGGTGTACTAATGTCAGATTTGTCCAAGATGAAACTGAGTGCTTTTTTTCTCATGCAGTCTTTTCTATTAGCGAAATAAACAGCGCACATAGGGGCACTCTGTTTTTCATGAGAAGACCACATTTCTAAGCGTAAATACCCCAGTACGCCGAAGTTATAAGAGTACTGTTTTCCACCACTGTGGTGCTGCTGGTGGGGCACAATTCTACCGGCTTTCAGCACGCAACAGTTTGTGCAAAACTTCAGTTTGTTCCTTGACTCATTTCAATACATTTGTGATCGGACCAGAGACGTCCTGGTGAAAAATGGCACAAATCACTGCTTGTGTATCCCATTCATCGGTCTCGGTGGTCACGATAACCCCGACCCCAATCCCCAACGTATTCAGTGCTTATCTCTGGCCCAGCAAAGAGTTGGTGCTTGCTAAGCACCAATTTTGAGAGCCTGGAGCTGGTGCTTAGGTGGTGGAAACACAAAGAACTGGTGCTAAGTCAGGCACTAGCACTAGAACCGGTTTGGTGGAAAAGGGGTATAAGTGACCTCCCTCACTAGTCTTTTTCTTGACTTGTGCTTTTTCAATAAGCTTTTCATGGAGTTGCTTGGAGTGTTCTTTTATCTTCAGTGTCATTACATCCAGGAGTACAGGTGTCTTTTTCTACAGCCCCTTAAGACACATTCATTGCACTCAGATGATCTTCATTTCACTAATTGAGTGACATCTAGCATCAGTTAGCTGCACCTGTGTTGAATTAGTTGAGTCACTTTAAAGTGAGTGAATATTTGTGAAATCACTTATTTTCCATTTTAGATTTTTAAATAAATATTATTACTTTTGTAAAAAAAAAAAACAATCCTTTTTCATTTTGACAACAAAGAGTTTGTTTTGCAAATTCTGTAAAAAGCCTAATTAAATTGCTCATAATTCAACTCTGAAAAGCAATTAAAGGAGAAAACTTCCAAAAGGGGGTGAATACTTTTGTAAGTACGATAGCATCCAATTTTTTATTTATTTTTTTACTGCAGAGAAAGCATGCTTATATTTAAAACAGGATTGTAGCAGAAGCAGGTCTTTATTAAAAGTAAATTGCATCATGTTATCATGCTGGGTGCACAGATGCATGACTTTAAGTAGCTCAGACAGCGTAATCCTTCATTTTCCTTGTAGGCCCTGAATAAGAAGCATCATAAGGACATTTTGAATTTAATTTACTGATTAAAAAGATAACAAAAAAGAAACAATATAGAGTTAAGTTATAAATAAAGTGTGTGTGTGCTGCTCTCACTTTGCCTAAAAGGAAAAGTGAGAGCAGCAGAGTGCAAGACACTGATGCAGTATTGTAGAATTTGATGGTAAATGAATCTAATGCTGAAGTTATCATGTTAATGCAAGTGTTTATGTAAGAATTTATGTTATCTCCTCTGTGTCTGTGGCATGTTTCAGCACCTTATGTGTGCTGGCCTGTGGTGTTTAGTAGAGGGAGATGTGTCCTGCAAGACAAAACTGGATCCTCCTCTGGATGGAACAGAGTGTGGAGCAGACAAGGTAGGACTGTCTCATTCACACAGTGATAGTGCTTTTGATAGTAGATGTCTGTTGACTTACATATGTGATGAGTGAAAACCCAAGAGCTTTAGTAAATGACCATGAGGGTTCTTTAAAGAAACCTCTTGAGTAAGAGGTGAAATATTTTCAAAACCAAAACCAAAAGTTCAGTCTTTTACTTGAGCTCTTAGAAGAATCTGAGAATCTACACAGACAGATGAGTTTGAAATAAATTTGAAGTAATTGTTTTATGTGTGTTTGTGTTTGTGTGTGCATCTGCGTGTGTGTCAGTGGTGCAGGGCAGGTGATTGTGTCAGTAAGACGCCCATCCCTCAACATGTGGACGGAGACTGGAGTCCATGGAGCCACTGGAGCATGTGCAGCAGGACCTGTGGAACAGGAGTCCAGTTCAGACAGAGGAAATGTGACAACCCTCCGTATGTAATTTGTGTGTGTGTGTATGTGTGTGTAACTTATAGGCTATTATACTTGACCTGTAAGTGTAGTGTTGATACCTTACTTAGATCAGTGCAAAGATATGTGTATTTTCCTTGTATGGCAGGAATGACACCATGATTTAAATGCAAATAACAATTAATGTAATCATTACAAAATCAAGGAGTACTATCTGGTTTTGCAAGTAGTACGCACAGCGAGCTCCATACACTCACACTCGGAACTGCTAAACCATGATCAATCAGATAACTTACCTCCTGCTGCATTTAGTCTAAAAAGCCTGTTTTCCCAGATTACGCGATATGCATGCTGTTTAATTGGGCAGTGACCCTCCAAATCAGTTATATGGAGGAACCCTTTCGCAGGGGTGATCAGAAAAATGTAGCAAGTTGTCATCTATCAAAGGCACAATATCTGGCTTGCAAGCAAATTAAGGCAAACGCGACAAAAAGGACTCTGAATCACTCAACACCTAAGAATTTCTCAAATAAGCAACTGGCAGTGAACCACTTTTTTCTACCAGTCCATCCTCAAAGGAATGATACAGAGGAGGTGCATTATACACAGAAACAGCCACAGGATTAATGTTCCATTCTCTGGAGATGTAGTGTTTTATTATGTTGCTGTGTTAGACTCTGGATTTTCTCTTTCAGTCAGGAGTTTGGATTATGTTACTGTGGTAGTTAATTTTTCGCTCTATTACATATGGTGCAGAGAGCTGGGCCTGGAGGGTTGGTTCCAACTAATGGAAGCAGCAATAACACTTACTCACCTGGCTGAGAAGTTCTGAATGCAGACTTTTCAGCATAACAATATTTCTTTTTGAACTGAGCATGTGCTAAATTTTCTTGGACTGACTGAAGCGCACGGTGCAGATGCTCTCTGAAATTGCTGACATCATCCAGCACGTTATGCTCTACTTGAGGTGACGCCGCTAAGCACTTCTCTTTGAGGAGATGGAAGGGAGCTCTCACCGTGTGGCTGAACACTGGGTCAGCAGCACTAAAGCAGGTTGATTCCTGAGTGGTTTCTTTTACAGCAAGCAACAAAAGTGGAAGACACTCATCCCTCTGCTTACCAGGCTCAAGGCAATAGTTTCTCAACATAAGTTTGAAAGTTTGATGAAAATGTTTTAGAGTACCTGTGCACTCTGGATGGTAAGGACTACGTGTTTTATGTTTTCTTTTAAGCGCCGTCAATACCAATACTAATAAACACTAAATATACTAATAAATAAATAAATAAATAGATAAATAAATAAATAAATAAATAAATAATATTCTGCAAATACTTTTGACGTAAAGTGTATGCCTTGATCTGTTTGAATCATTCTGAGAGGATCAAAGGTCGAAAAGAATTTGGTGAAGGCTTTCACCACCAATTTGTCTTTGAGGGTGTGGAGTGGCATGGCCTCAGGATAGTGCATGATGGTGCATATAATGCTTAACACATACTGATTAACAGATTTAGTTTGTGGCAGAGGGCCCTCACAATCTAACAGGACTCTTTCAAACGGCTCCCCGATTACTGGTATGGGATGCAAGTGGGCCAGAGAAACAGGATTGATGGGATTCCTCACAATTTGACATGTGTGGCATAAGCAGCAATACTTCATTACATCCAATTTCAAACCAGGCCAAAAGAAATCGTGCAGCACACACCACGATATCCAGCTAAGCTGGCATCATGTGCTAGGCACAGCACCTGAAGCTGTATGTTTTTGGAATAAGAATTTGGTTAACACAGCTTAACTCTGTTAAATCTGAAACCCACTTTCTCATCAACACACCATTCTACATGGAAAACCTGACAGGTTTCTTAACATCCTGTGTGGCTACAGCAGAGAATGATCATGAAGGTAGCAATGGCTCACATTGCTGACTATCTGTTAATATCTCTCTGGTCACACTTAAGCTTAGCTTTGATTTTGCAGAGACACAGTTATTAACTCTTAGACACTGTCTCGTTTTTAGTGGTGGGAGACACTGAGGAGGGAAATTCACTCTCATTTAAAGTAGCCATACATGACCCAGACAAATCAGCACCACCCATTTTACAAGCCTGCACAGAGGCTCAGGAAACACATTTGGCAAAATGGAGGTGGGAAAAAAGAGCAGCACAGCAGAAACTGGAACCTCATTAACCTCAAATGGAGGAAAAACTTGTCCTCCAGCTATGTCGCTGCCAATAATAAACGAAACACCATCGATAGGGATTCACAGGCACATGGCAACTTTAATGCGTCCTGTCAAGAGTGATTAATACAGATGCACCACATGTAAGGGGGCTCTAACTACACCAATTTTAATACCCCACACTAAAATGTCAGATTTACAAGAGGTCTCATGACAATGGCAACACAGAATCTAATATAAACAGCTGGTGTGCACTGATATCTCTAAGAAGTCGTGACTGGCACTTTTTTCATATTTTCTTCACCGCTTAACAAAACGCCAAGGCGCATACTGGCAGGAGTCTGTGGGCCTTTTTAAACATTTGGCCTGGCTCGTAACAACTGAAACACTTCCACTGGTTACAGATGAAACATTTTTTGGGTACAGACTTTCACAACTTGATTTTTCGTTCTAACACTGAACAGAGAATGCAAGTGGCTCACATAAAGAACACACGTTTATGCGTCAAAATAAACTCATCAGTCTACATTGCTGTTTGCTCGAGTGGCAATGCTTTCTGTTCATTTAAACAGACCAATTCAAGTCATTTTTATTTATATAGCACTAATTCATGTGATCTCATTGCACTTCACATAGTAAGGTGAAGACTTTACGAGTTTTAAACAGAGAATGCAACAATCCAAAGTTACCTTTAGATTCCCTATGAGCAAGCAGCCAGCAACAGTGGGAAGGAAGCAAAACAAAAAACGAAAACACCACAATGCACTCTGGCAAACATTTTTTAAACTCCTTGAACAGCATCAGCTCTCTCAACTCCTGGAATGTGGTGATGTTACACATCTAACACCATTTATCAAACAACACACTCTTTTCATGCTCTACCAAGGTCTGGTTCCCAGTTTTATCACTGTTTCTAAATCTCTGTCTGTAAGCCTCAGGAACAAGGTCATAAGCTTACAACACAGTTTTTATTTCACAATTTCATATCTAAACTATCCACTGCTAGTGTGACCTGTTCTGCCTCTCTTGTAGCCACAGCTGATGAGAGCCACACGGCCTTGTCCACAGGTGCACAAAATCTTCCTAAGCTTTGCTTTATGGGCACTGAAAGGCACTTGGACATTATGAAAATTTGACACAATAAGTAAATCAGCTTTTCTACACACATCAATTTTATCCCAAGCAGGAGAGGTCAAATCAAATTATTCATACCATCGCCCCTTATTTTCCCACACACCAAGAAAAAAAACTGCCAACCAGATGCAGATTCATTGATTGGGTTTGCTGTCTTCGGAATGGTCTCCTATCAAATTTACAGCTGTGAGAAAAGGGTGTAGGGTGGATTCTCTGTGTGTTGCTCTGAAATGTGCCTGGCAATAAATTGTTGTTCTGCTCCTTAGTGTGTTATAATAGTTAAAGTTTGATTCAAATTAGAGCCTAATGTGGAATAGAAAATTACACCACAGGGTAATCAAAGTTCCGTTTCATATTCACACTTCACTCATTTAATGGCGTAGTAACACAAAAAATGTGAGTGCCCAAAAAGGGAAATGAAAACAAGGTCACTGGGGTAATATAGTTTGAAAAATATTCAAACCTCTATTTCTATGATGTTAAGGCCTGCCACTTTAGTCAACCACGCTAAGTTAGGATTTGAAGGTAAAAAAAAAAAAAAAAAGGTAAAAATATAGCTGGGATTACTTCCAGAATATTTGTTTAATGGTGAAATGTTTAAATGTCTACATTCTTATAAGACTTACTGTACTAATTTGTCTTTATTCACACAGTTACAATCTAGACTGTTTAGGTCCCCTGTTTGATAGGTGGACATCTGTCAATGTTGCTACTCCCCTCTTGGCAATTAACAATAAAGTTATATGATTAAAAAAAAAAAAAGGAAAAAAAATTGAATTTCTATTTAATTTCCCCCCAAAAAGATCAGAAACAGTAGTTCACTGCTGGTCAAGCAGAAATCCATGTGTGTGTGTGCATATGTGAGACATGGAGAAAGATTATTTCTTTGTGTTTGTGGACAGGCCTGGTCCAGGTGGTCGACACTGCCCAAAGGCCAGTGTGGAGCACAAAGCATGTGAAGGTCCTCCATGTCCCAAGGGGGTGTCCAGCTTCAGAGACCTGCAGTGTCTGTCCTACGACCGACAGAGTAACAAGAAGAAGGGCAGCGTGCTGGCGGCTGTAATTAATGATGGTGAGACATAGACACACACTGGCCTACTGTAGAAATACCACCAAACTCATTTGCTAATTTGCCATCATACTTAAAATAAGACATGGAAACTATAGATGCTTTTTGAAAGGGTCCAGATTGTACTGATCTGAAGCACGATAAACTTTACTGATTCCTCACCAAGGAAATTTACAATTCTGAATTAACATCTCACATTTCACTCTTGCTATTTGCGTAAAGGATCATGTATTTTCTTGCAACCAATTAGCAACAGCAGAAAATGGTTTAATTGCAGTGAGTCTTTTGAGAGTGATGAGGGGAGCATGGGGAAGGAATCTGAGGGCAGTCATGGCAGGTGAATGGCTGGCTGCTGCAGTCTTGGTGAAGCTGATGTGGAGGGGCTTACTAGAGTAGGACTCTTCAAGGGGTAAGTGATTAGCAGACTCATCACTGGCAACTGAAGGAAGAGTGGCTTGTGACAAAGCGGGTGACTGAATGATCTGGTGTCTGGTGGAATGTGTGGTGACTGAGAGAGCTGTGTGTGTCTTCAGATAAGGTGAGTAGTTGGCTGAATGCTGTTTCCAGAAGCTGGCTAGCAAGCAGGCAACTGGAGACGATGCAGAACCTGAGCCATAAGGACATTTGAAGTGAGACTGGTTTTTGAATATACTTGGATAAAAAGCAAGCCAGAGGCTTGCCAAGTTGATACTACCACATTGGCACGCAGAATAATATGGCAAGTAGTGAAGAGACGAGCTGGGACTACCCAATAGGGATAAAAGAAGAGAAAGACAAAGAAAAATAAAACTGGAGGGAGAATGATAAAGAGCAGAAACACAAGGGAAGAGGAGCTTGATGGCTTTCGTGATGAGACAGGGATCTGTTATGAAGTGAGTGAGACCCTGAAGTCTCCCAATCTACTAGATACTGAAAACCGTTGCCGCTGAACATCACAAGCTGTCAAACAGTGTAAGTAGGGATCTCATCAAATGACCCAGGCAAGTGGAGAGGGATTTGGATCAAGAGCTCAGATGACTGGAGGACACTGGTTTTACTTGAGAGACGTCAAAGGTTGAGTGTAGTTTCATGTTACAGAGGAGTCTGATGGTGGATTGATTTGTTACTCGCTTAAAGCAAAGTGACAGATTTTTGATCTAGTTTCTAAAGGACTTTACAAAGAAGAAAGCCAAGAGGCGTGTTGGTAAGGCCAGAAGAACAGAGAAAATACGAGCAAGATATTTTCCAGATTGTCCAACATGGAAAAAATGGTTGTTGGACTTCTTCTATTTCAGTCCCTTAAGAAGGAAACAAAAGTGGCTGTCAACCCAGGAAAGATTCAGACTGACCTGTGATTCTGATTGGGAGCTTCAGGAGATGAAAGATCAGAAGTGGTGGCACAACACAGAACAACGTCGAGGTCCTTGTTACCTTGCTGCATTTGGCCATTAGTCTCTAGTTGAAAAACAATAAGGTAAACTGACAGTGGCATCCAAAGTTTGTCAGAATGCCCTCCACACATGAGAAATAAACTGAGGTCCTTCGTCTGATTCAGCTATTGGAGTGCTGTGGAGGTGGAACACATGGTACACTAGAAGGTCAACAAAATTGAACTGCTATAGAGACTTGGTCAACAGTGATGAAGATCTAGATTTCTGTACATCATAAAATAAGTTTCAGGTCAGATATGTTGGCCATAGTCCATATTATCTTTTCATTTTTTACTTCTCAAGGTGGAGCAATGGATTATGTAAAAATAAAAAACAAAAACTAAATGTTGATATTTAGCTAGTTAGCATATGTGCATAGTGTGGTCAGACATTACCATCACTCTACTCCTACTTCCCCCTTTCTCCTAACTCTGAGCGTGAACTTGCACAAGCATTAGCATGTACAGGACAATATTTAGTTCCACTTTGAACAACGTGCATAGAAACTGCTACACTTGTCATTTATCACCAAGATATACCAGACAGGCATCGTTTTGGAGTTTTAAAGTATTTCTGTATTATTTATGAACAACATTGGTTTGAAGCATATCTTGTCTTCAGACTTTCCATTGCACTAATGTTTTTTTACCCCTCTGTGTATGTACCCATGTGTATTTATGTTTGTGAGCAGAGAAGCCATGTGTGTTGTTCTGCAGTCCAGTGGGTCGAGATGTCCCAGTCCTGATGGCTGACAGAGTGATGGATGGGACTCCCTGTGGACCATATGAGGCCGATCTGTGTGTTAATGGGAGGTGTCAGGTACACATGCATACACCATCAAAATCGTGTGGTACATAGTCAAAGTGGAACATGCCATATATCCTTAGACTTTGTTTGGCCTGGTGGCCTCCCTGCTCTTTTGCCCAAGGAGGACAAAGATACAACTAACTTTTTTGACTGTCCACTTATTTGTATGTTTTCCCTCATTTTTTTAATTGTCTCATTGTCTTGTCTTATCTTGTCTTGTCTCATCTCATCTCATCTCATCACTCAGCCCTCTGTGTATATACAAGGTCTTGTCTTTACCTCTTTGAGTTACCAGTTTGCCTTTTTGCTTACCACACATTCACCTGCCAGAGCTCTTGTTTGACTCTGGTTTGTGCATTTAGTTTTTCTTTTTACCCCTTTGTGTTACTTTATTTCTTGCTTTCGTTTGTTCTCCTGCTTTGTGGTTTATGGTGAAGTAGTAGTATTCATTTGAATTAGGTTCTTATGAACACTTCCTCCCCTGTTGATTTTAGATTTTAGTTCTAAAGTAAACAGTGTAATGGTAATTACACCCTTAATTGAAGTGTTGTTATTGGTCAGTGGGGCAGAAACAAAAAAATCAAAGAAAGTATCATATAGAACTTTTTGTATTTAAATTTTAAAAAGACATGTTTGAGCAGTGCATTTGAAAATTCACTACAGCAGCAGACCATGTACCATCTAAAAACTGAGCAAGGATTGTAAACCAATGCCCAAAAATAAAAAACAATAAAAATAGCATTGTT